CTTCAGTGGTTCAGTTCTGCCCCTTGGTCCCAAATTCCAAGGTGCTCCACCCCACCTCTGTTCCCATAGCTCTGCCTTTGTCCCTGTTTCTGAGTGCTAGTTCTGGGACATACCTCAGCCCCTTCTACGACTCAGACCTGCCTATCTCTAACTAGGCCCTTGCCCAGAAGCAGAGCCTCTGTTCTCCTCCACCTTTCAATGCACACTGCCTAACTGCCTGAATTTCAGCATATCTGCTGCCCACATTCCCCATAGCTGGACTCCACCTACCTCTTGGGCACCCCCTTCTAGAACAACTGGTTCCCCCATTTGTTGAGACCCTGTATGGAACTATCTATGCTCCCTGGACAGTATCTTGGACTGGCAGAATATCCACTGTCACCTGGGCATATCTCCCACAACTCATCTTTCTCCTTGATAAAAATTTACTCTTCCTTACTTCATGGTCTTCATAGTGTCCAGCTCTAGGCAGGACATCAACCAACAGTTTGGAGTAGGCAGCCACTGGCACAGAGATCATCTTCAGGAGACAGAGCAACTGAGCTGCTACTGATATTTCCAAGGAGACCCATCCACTAGCTACTTGAATAGTGGTGTCGCGAAAAACCACTAGAGAGACTAAATTTTTACCATTAAAATAGCATAAAATCTCTTTACCTAGAACTTAGCCAATAAAGTTTAAATATGAAGAAAAGCCAGCTAGTACAATAGAATGTAAGAAGCTTTAGAATAGCAGAGCTTTAAGTGTTAGAAGGCTAAGATGCTGCAAAGTAGCTGCTATTGTAATGCAAAGCGATGCAGGCTGGAAGGAGCATTTTCCAGCCCCCTGGGAGGTTCTGTTCTGATCACCACTCCTAAATATCAGGGCAGATTGACTGCTGTGCCTCTACATCTTCTGGCCCTATGCAGGCCTGTGCTGGGGAGAGGGAAATGTGCCTACATAGAGTGTGGGGGGAACCTGGAAGATTCTCCTTTTGCCAAAGATTTGCCCACTGCTCAACCTTGTGCCTTGAATTCCCTCCACTAAGGACTAAACTTAGCTATTGTGTATCCCCAAAACCCTTTTTAAATGGAAAAATGTGTTCCTTTGAGTTAAATAATAAATTTACTCAACTCACATAGATTCTCCATGTGCAGAGACTGTTTTTTAGGTCCATCAAGGCAATTAGATATAAGTCAAGTCTGTTTGCTTTGGGGGCCAGTAGGAGGACAGAGTGCAGGCATGCTTTGATTCAGGTATCCACTGGGGAATACCGCTCTGTAATAGACTAGCAGGGAGCTGGGACAGTCAGAAGCCAACATAAACAAAATGGCACCTTCAGATACCTTCAGAAGGGAGCAAAGTGAGGTGTGTGTGTCTTTGAAAGTGGGATAAAAGAGTGAAATACTAATTTCCATTTGTCTATATTCACAAGCCTTTAAATCCCTGTCATCTTGGGTGTGTAAAAAAAAATGAGGAAGTGTTTGTGCTTCTCTAAATACGGGCAAAATGGACTGAATTTTTTTTATCTCAGATAAATATGAAAAGCTGTGGGCTTAGAACTCCTTGTGTTTATTTTTTGATGGCACTTAGAATAAAATGTTCTAAATTTAACATTTAGAAAGGAACAAATAACCCATTATGTAAATGGTATTATGAGATGGAGAGTCCCTGGGCAAAAGAAGATAAATGTATTTATAATTGCATTTTAATCTTCTCCACTGGAGATAATTCCTTGTTTATTTTAACCTGATGCCATTTTTTGAGTCAAGAAATGGTGATTTCAATCTAGAACTGGTCAGGCTAGCTAATCAATTGCCTTAACTATAATTTTGCCTCCAAATTGTAATGTCACTTACAATTTTCTTTGTCATTACAGATGGATGTTGTGTTATAAAAGACTGAGTGATGAGCTTTGTTGCATACTGTAATTATTATTTTTGTTATGAAAGATGCCTACAATTTGGAACTCAGAAATGACAGAGACAATTAAGGAAACAATCTATAGTTGATATACTCCTCCCTCTAAATTACATTTTCCAGTGGTTTATTTATAAAAGTTGACCAATGTAGTTTAACTTTTTCTATACATGCATGGCTGTAACTCTCCCTGAGGAGTTTGCTGGCAGTCAGGCTAGGAGCCGTAATGAGTTTTCCAATCCAGACCAGCTGGAATCAAAGCTCCAAGTACTTTATTCTGTGCAAAGAATGCACCACTTGTCACATTGACATAAAAATTCTTAATGAAGCATTAATACAAAGAACGTTTATTCTTCATGTAGTTATTATAGAGGGCAATAAGAATGTAGAAATATAGCAGTTTGAGAGAGATTAAATTGTATTTTCTGTGTCATAGCTCTCAACTGTTGGTAGAAATGACAGAATCTCTCAAATTTTATTCAGTTACCCAGCCCTGATCCTGAACGAAGTTGAGTTTCTCTTCCCTTTCCTTATGACCCAATTACAAAGCCTCCAGTTACACCATTGTTATTGAGGCAGAGGCAAACTCACTTCATCTTCTGCAAAATAATGGCCTGAAATGTAATCCTGCTGCAAGATTAATGTGAAGCCACTGTTATTCTGGCGTCACGGCCATGCTTGCAATTGAAGACCATTCTCCAGATGTGAGCTGGTTCTCCAGTAGATCCTGATGTGATAGCTCTCAGATAGTACTGCCTCACCTTGCTCTTTGAATAGGGGTGATGAGTAACTCTACAGCCCTTCATCCTCAGTTCCTGTATACAACTGTTAAGCCCCATTGTCCTTCCAAGCATACCGAGGCCATGAAATTCCTGAATATATGTGTTTAAGTTTAGGAGTTTCTCTTGGACAAGTATAACATAAAAACAAGGACATTTCATCTGTGTAAGAGAAAAAGGTCATTTCAGCATGTTCCAGCTAACTTTTTTTCTTTTTTATTCACTTTACAATTTATTACTGTGGTAACTCTTGCGCGCAGATCCCACACTCAGATGTGCTGGTGTGCAGATTGGGGGTTTTTTGTTGACTTTTAGATGTTCAGCTTATTGTTGTTTCAAGGGGAGAAATCTGGGGACGTCTCTTACTCCGCCATGTTTCTGACATCACTCTCCAGCTAACTTCTTGTAAAATAAGGTTTATATTGAAAAAGGAATTTGAAGGTTCATAGACTCATGACTTCTATGAGGCTCTTCCCCATGGAGTTAGATGAAGCACTGTGTCAAAGCTTTATTTGAAAATTGAGTTTTCTTTAATACTCTGCAGAGTATACCATAAAGATACACTGTAGTAAGAATAATTTATCTCATCTCATGGTACAAGAATAGATAATATTTTTAAATCAAAGGGAAAAGAGAAAGATAAACTTGGCGACTACCATCTCTGGCACCCCATCAGTAAAAGAGTCATCCCTTTGGGGCAGCAAAAAAGAATACTAGAGTCCAGCTAGACCACTTTCTTGTTAAGTAGCTATAAAATCTCAGGTAAGAAGTTTACATTCTCTGAGCCTCATTTCTAGCTCTGTATGGTGGGGATAAAGTACTCTCAGTGGCTACCTCCCAGGAGTGTATAAGGATCCAATGAGAAAACATATATAAAACTGTTTTACATACTGTACTAAATAGTGTTTGTTATAGTGGTGGTCAGTCTTCTTTTTGTCATTAATCTTTCTCTGATATAATCTAAAAAAATAATTTCCTGGTGACCCTCCTCATTTCTGAGACTGGTGCATTTTCTCCCACTTTGGGAAATTTTAACCGTTACAAATCGAAATGATACAAACCTCACTCCAAGTATTAACTGACTTCCTGGCAGGGATGTTGCTAGGAGAGCTGGATTATCTTACTGATACCAGATATCTTATTGTTTTCTCTTGAGTGGCTGTGGCTATTTGGTTATAGCTCTCCCATCATGGAAAACACTCTCAAGATATAGACCCACGGCTTACTCATCTTCACTCTGGGCCCCTGGCATTGTAACTGACATGTGGGAAGCTTAATACATATTGTGAAATGATCAGATCTTATTTCAACCTAGAATTCTGTTTCTTTACTTTACTTTAACTCATTAAGATAAATTTGTGAAAGGCAGAAGTGATATATTTATGCCATAAATGTTTATCTTTGGACAAATTATATTTTTGGTAGAATCTGGTTTAAGCCTACTTATTTACATAGACCTTTCTCTGAGCAGTGCCGAGAACTCACTTAACAGGCAATTCAAAATGTGGAATATAGAATGAATACTTTTAAATGCAATATCATTTAAAATGTACCAGGATTAAAGGTCATTTAAATGACTCATCTGTGGAAATATAAAGTGAAAAGATGACATTCTTAATTTAGCTGTTGCTTAGGTTTGTTCTTTAGCAGAATTTTAAAAGTGACTTAAATACACTTCATACTGATTTATCCAAGACTACTCATCAAACAAAACTGGATTCTTATATAAAATATCTTCCAAATTCCAGAAAATAATCTGCTCTTAACCTAAAAAATTTTAGGTTATGAATGGCATGCAAACGGTATCATTTTTAGTTGCTTATTTTACATGAAGACACTAATCCAGAGTGCAGGAAGAAGAGTGAAATAAAATGATGGGCAATTTAAACTTAGCCTTTGCAAATGGTCTTTATGTTTCTCAATTAGCTTTGTCGTTTAGGTTTCTGTCCATCATATTGCTGTCGTAAAACCCTGCAGCACCATGTTTCAGGAGTAGTAACATGATGAGCATGTCTGTTTTCCTTCTATGTTTTTAGAAAAGGCTCCAGGAAATGGCGTATGAATTTAAAATCCAGTCATATGTATATGCCCCTCAGCATCATCATAAAATCGTGGATTTGACAAATTTATACAAGTGTTCCCATTTGGGAATTTGCAAAAGGAATGAATGCTGCACTTCCTCCTGGAATGAAAAAACTTTCAATGCTGGAAATTTCTTCAGCAACTAGAGTAAATTATATTTGGCCTGGAGGACCCAGACCAAAAAGAAACCTTGCTTTGGGCAAAGTTAAAATATAATAGAAATTAAAATTTTATGTACAATACTTCAGCAGCCTGTGTACTTAAATTGGAACAATATGGAGAGATTAGCATGGCACCTGTGCAAAGATTGCATGCAAATTCTTCTATGCTTCTCATTTTATAAAAATGTAAGTTATAGACATGACCTGGATAGGATAAAAACTATACAGAATGTAATACAATGTAAACAGTAATTATCTAGGGGAATTACGACTGCAATTTTTAAACCTCTTTGTATTTTAAAATTTTTCAAGTAGGGGTATATAAATGAATAATCAGAAAAAATAAAATAAGCATTTAAACATAAAAATATGTTTTCATTTATAATTTCAAAATGATAAAATGAGTGATAGTTTCTTCAAGTTATTTGGCTACCTAAAGACAAGCAGAATTGACAAAAAGTGAATTAAATTTTTTTCTTTTTTTACTTTGTCCTAATACCTCAGAGAAGTAACTTTCGAGCTCTTTTGAGCAGTGAAAGCTTTTGTAAATATAGAATGTTATACACTCCCTGCACATAAAACAGGCAGGAAAGGAACTGCTCTGGTTGGGCAGGGTAGACCATCTGAGCCTTCCCCTAAGTCTTCTGTGACCTGGGAAGGCACCTACACAGAGCCTGGGGCATTGCAGAATAGAGCTTGGAAACCATTGTCTGTTGCTATGCATTGTGAACTAGGCAATTAACTCTTGAAGACAGAAACCCACACTTTCGATACCTCGTCATCTAACACAATGCTCTTGACGTGGTGGGTTCTCAATAAATGTTTATTGCACGGCTGCCTGGCCAGCTTATTTTCATCAGCCATCTGGTCTTCATGATGCAGAATAAGATGGTGACAACTTCAAGGTCCTTCTCAAATTGTTTGTTTTGAAATTCCCCTAGCACTTGGTAATTCCTCTATGGATCAAGGAGGTATCGAGAGCCTTAAGTCTTGCTTATGAAGTGAATATATGCACGCCTGCAATTTTGGCTTCAACTAAGTGTAAAAGCAGACTTACTAAAGTTGCCTGAATTCAAGGTTTGCATTCTGGAAGTGTGTTATGTAACAGCGTTGTTGACTGAATTGTGCACAATAAAATGCATATGATGGGAAACAGATGATTATTACAAATATGATATAAATGTGCTTTGCAGGTTATCCTGTGCTGGAAAGATAAAATCTCCAGAAAGATACAGAGTAGGGGAAAGGGCCCAGCTACTTAGATCGTGCATGCTTCTTGCCATTTTATAGTTGCCTGATTTTGTACACACGTGCCCATTTATATACTAAAATACACAAACCATTGCATGTGGTTTGTATTCATAGTATAGTGGTTAAGAGCCTGGACTCTGAATTCAGGCATCTTGAGTTCAAATCTTGCCTCTCCCTCTGACTAGGCATGTCACTTTGGGCAAGTGAGCTTTTTTTTTTTTTTTTTTCTGTGCCTTAGTTCCTTCTTCTGTAAATTGAAATGAAAATGTGCTTCTGAGGGAACCCGAATTAAGACTCATGAACAAAGCACCTTTGGAAATAAACAAAGTATCACTTCTTATATGGTCCCTCCACTCCCTCCACTCTTTATCTGGACACTCTCCCTCTCTGTTTGCTCACATGGATCTATCACAGTGCTCAGTCCACCACTTGCTCGCTGCTCTGCCTCTTCCTCTGAATTGTAAGGTCTTTGAGAACATGGATTATGTCTCTCACCTTGGTATCTCCGGGACCTCAATAAATGCTTGCTAAATGGATTTTCTGTGGGCTCTGCAATCCTCCAGGGAGAATGCCTCAGCTCAGGATATTTTGCAAAATGCCTGGCAAGAGGGACAAGGAAGATGAGTCTGGGGAGTGATGTTCTGGAAGAGGAGCAACCTGATAACTTTTCCACAGTAAAACTTGACCCCTGTCCATGGGTAAAGCATATATGTTAGTGTGCTTCAACTCCTCTCTCCAAAGTGAGGATTAAATAACACTCGTTATGATTTAGTGTCGGAAATGTGCTTTGAAACTTCAGTGAGACTCTATACGATTAAAATAGTAGCCACTGTTCCATCATTTAAATAATCTCATTGGCAAAGACCATGCATTAATCATCACTGTAGAATATTTTTCTATTCACTGAACATCTTTCATTTGAGAACATCACCACGGTTTATAAACATTACCTCGGGGAGGTCCTCATAACAACATCCAGCCTGGTCCTTTACGTGAATTAATAAACTGGGGCCTGAGATTGCTAAACAGCTTGTTCGAAAACATTCAGAGTCAGGGGCAAGAAACAGGTTACCACTAGACGAGTTAGTAATCAGGAGATAGCCCTGTGTAAATATTTGGGTAGATGAGACAAATAGGTCAGACAGGCAGACTCGCAAGGGAAGTAGCACTCTCTCCTTTCTCTGCTCCTCATAGAAGCAATCTGGGATTCCCAATGGGGTCTGTAAAAAGAAACCTCCACTGAAAAACAGGTTTCATGAATTATGAAAACCCTACAAAATATTTAACAGTTACTTTGTGCTGAGCAGCTACTCTGTGAATTCCAAAGATGCCCATTCAAGTGGCCCTATATATTTTATGCTCCTGACAATAAAAATAACTGTACCTTTCAGTCAGATAAAGACGAAAGGCGCTGTACCTTTATGGGAGACAGATGGGTGAGGCATACATTAGAACGGCTTCCGTTACAGTAAATATGATCCTTCTGTCTCAGCATCTGTTCTGCAAACGTAATGGGAACCTTTCATCAAGACTTGGTGGCACACGCACTGGTCAGCAGTTGCCAGTTCCTCTTGCTTATGCCCTGGCATTAGTGAGTGAATTCCTACTTCGGCCACTGGGTCACCAGCTGAGAGGTACGAGTGACTTCGTGGCTCACAGACACCAGAGTTGTCTCTCAGCTGGTTCCCAGAGAGCACCAAAGTCAGTAACACCATGATATGATGCACAAAGTAATAGGAGCACTAGGAATTGGCAAATTCTCAGTTCAGTTGCGCCTGCTGTGTAGCTTTGGGAAAATCACTTTACTTTCTGTTTCCTAGGCCCTCAGCTATAAGATGAGGAGTTTTAGACAGATCTGTGATTTTCCATCTGTACCCTGCATTTCAGGAGATTTCCCAGGAGCCACTCACTAAAAAGGTCCCAAAAGGCACCGACATCCCCAACCAAGCTGCAACCAGCTGCCTCACTTTTTTTCTCTTTTATACATTGAGTGTTCATGTAAGATTGCATTTGGAAAATAAATGAATAAATAAATAGGCTTCTCATTGCTCCAGAAAAGATATATGAAAATCACTGGTCCTGATATCTGCCTTTCCAACTTTGAAAACATAAAGAAACTCCTTTGATTGTTCTGCTATCCTCTCGTTCTTTTGTAGAACTAGAGCAGAACAGAATTGAATCATGTCAGCGCACGGAGACCTTCCAGCAAAAGCAGTCAGTCAATGGAGGAGCAACCAAGAAGCTTTGTAGTCAACCCTTCCACCAGCACCAGGCCTCACCTGCCATTAAGGGCTCAGCAGAGCTTTCCTGGCAAAGGGTCCTTCATTCTCTTCGTGAAGGCTCTCCCAATCCACAAGTCCCCACAACTCCTCTCATATTCAGAAACTTACTGTCATGATCACAAGTCATTCTTTCTGTGACACACAGAATTAATAATCTGCCTCGTGGGACATGCTGGCAGAACAGCCCTAAAAACATGGTGTTTGTGTTTCTTTTTCATGCCTTTAAATGGGGAAGAAAACTAACACGTTATAGTGTCTGAAAGCATAGATTAACTATGGTGCTGGATTCCTTGGGCTTAGATCCTAGCTATTGTACTTCTTATTAGCTTTTTTGGCCTTGGGCAAGTTACTTAATTTCCCGATGTTAGTCTACACATCTGCTTAAAGAAATAACAATGATAAGAATAGCATCTACCTACTTTTCAGGATTATGAAAGTTAAATGAGTTAATACATGTCGATGCATCTAAAGTACCTGCCATTTATGAAATGCTACGGAAGTATTTGCTAATTAAAAAGATATAAACGTACTCGTATGTACATATACATGTGTGTCAGTATATATAAAACGTTTTATATATAATTTTTATATTTTTAATATATAAATTTTATATATAAGATACATTATATTTATGTACGTATGTACGTATGTATGTATGCATGCATGCATGCATGTGTGCAGAAAGAGAGCCAGTGTTGCCCAGGTACTGAGCCAGGCATTTTATCAATATTGTTTATATCTGTGTATTTATTATATACTCACTAGCAATTATCTCACCCTTATGAATGAGGAAAAAGAACTTTCTCCCCAAACAAATAGTAGGTATAAAATTGAGGGTAGGAGGTTGTTTCCTAGCCCCAAGGTCTCATCACAGATCACTCTGTATTGAGAGATGTATGTCTTAAACATCTCACCTGGCAAAGGCATCTGGCAGTCATATCTTGTAATAAAGAACCCACACAACCATTTTTACTCTTTCCTCTGGTTAAAATGTACATTTTCTGTGACTAGAGCAACTGCTAGACCACAAGGATCTAAGAGAGATTTAGCTGCTGTTTCCCAGCTTTGTGACAAGACGTCCTGGGTGGCCACCTGGTTACATGCAACAGAGCCTGCAGGGATGTGCCGGCATCGGCTCCCACCAGCTCATGAGAGCCAGCTGTTACATTTTCAGGAATTTCATGAGCCAGTTGTTAAACTCAGCTACTATTAAAAATTATATAAACTTACAATTAAATAAATTATTTCTAAACAAAGGTAATAAATATTCAACTCATTCTTCCTAATTATTTTACTATGTTTTACTATTATCTGTGCTCTTGAGGTTACATACATCTATTGTATCTGGGCGACGGGCACACTATATAACCATGTGCTGCTGTATCACTTCCCAGCTCCATTTTCGGTGGTGTCACGTGGGAAGCCTCATATCGCCCTGGTGAGTGTATTTATACCACGGAAACTGGCAGATACTACAAGTCATGGTTTGACTTGTTGTTTTGTTGATTATGTAGATTTAATAATAGGAAAATATTAATTATGCGGATTAAACTTGAAAGTGTGTCGCATGTACCTCAAGGTATTTGTTAGCTTTTCTAACTTTGTAGTGTTGAAGCCAGGCACCTTAACAAGGAGATCAAGGTTGACA